ATTGTTCAATCAACTCGCGTATACGCTATTCTATGAAGGAACCACGAACGTTTAATTGAAATGTAAAACACGCGACTGATTTTAACACGTATTGCGGGTAAAAGATACCGCTGTAAAACTAATTGCTAATTGCAATTCCTTTTGCTTTGGAAGTGTTATGTTTCCATAAATTCCGTTAATATTGATAAATACGTCGATGTGCATCGTTATTTCCTCGAGTATTAATCATCATTAATACTAGTCGCCGTTTATTCAAACTCTGTTCATGTTCGCGAAATCCTTGTCCGTCTCTTCCTTCCTGGATCCGTTCAAACATTTTCGATAGAGGCTGATTAAAGGCATGGCCAGCAACAGAACTCCGCTTAACGCGATGAAGAAACCGGCCAAATAAAACGACAGATCGTACGTCCCTGTGATGTCGTAAAGCCATCCTGGAACAAACGGAAAACGCGTTTCGTTGGACATCGGTATGTTTCATCAATAATAGATAAAGAAGGATTGATAATGGAACAGATAAAGAAGCATGCATTTGCTCGAATTTTCTCCACACCCCAATGAAAGTTTGGCCGTAATTGCGCGATCCTCGATCTGGGCCATGAAACTCGAAAATTATTACGACCGTATAATTCATACAGAGTTTCAGAGTTACCGTGGGCAGAGCCCACTGTTAATTGAACTTGCTTTTTCGCATGTGCTAGTTGTATTAAGTATTCGCTCACGAATACTACACTTTTTATTATTCCGTTATATAATTTGCAAAATGCTCGATCGCAGGAACTGTTGTTAAAAAAATGTTGAAAATCATTTTTAACAGGAATGTTGAAAAATTTGTTAATTTGTTAAATTGTATATTTTTAATTTCATCTCTTACCAGCCAGTGGAGGACCCATGAGATTGGCAACACCTTGAACCAAAAGCAAAAGGCCGTACGCGTTTGTAAATCTTTCGAGAGTGATCAGTTCGACGAGGATGATGCTGGTAAGACTATAATTTGCCCCGATGAATAATCCAAAAGCACCAGAGATTGCGCACAAAGCATAGTAATTGCCAACTACCATAGGTATTAAAGCTGTCACTGCACCACAGAGGGCCATGCACACCGCGTACACGATAGATGCATTTACCCATGCTTTGTCACCTGCCCAACCAAGGAGAATCTGAAAGGAAAAAAAGAAAAAGAGAAAGATTTATCTTCTTTAATACCAAAAATTTTTATTCTCCGTTAACAAATTATTTTCAATTCCACAGAAATTTCTCGCAATTATTCAATATATATATTCTTTCTTGCAATTAATACGATTTGCAAAATCGTAGATTTCTATTCAAGGATCGTTTTTCTACGCGATATATTCTCAGAATCGATAGAGAGGGGGCAGAATTTTCTCAGAATCATTCCTACGTTAATTGTCACAGAAGTTGGTGTATATAACCCTTGCGTGACCGTCTCAGGGTTAAAGGGAGTTTAGAATCAAATGAGATCAGGGAGGGTGAAAGGAAACTAACTAGCCGCGTCACGCTGATTGACCTAAGACGGGATTGACGTAATACTAACCTGTAAGAAGCTTTTCTAGTTTAGCAAGAAAACTCGTTCGATACCTACGTTTCTCATTTGCGTTTTCAAAGATTTGAAGAAGAAAAATTTAATCGCATCGATTAAATTAGAAACGATTGAATTGAAAAAGATTTAACGTTTTTGAAATATTGAATTTAACTAAAGAATTGAAACGATATATTAGGGCATGTAAAAAGATTGATGTACAAAGATTTTTGCAAGGTTAGAAAATGGAAAGTCTATCGATTGTTGCATAAGCGATTAGTGGATTTAATTTGAACATCATTTCGAAGCCGTAGAAACGTTCAAAGCTGAATTTTCAGAAATATCACTCGTTAAAAAGAAAATATCGTTTCAGGAATGATGTCTTAACGAATCGGTAAGTGGAAATAATTATTTCTTCACTGGCCGATGAACAGCGGTGAGGCAAACTTAATATCGGAACACCAATAAAGGAACAAAGTAATGGCGCAAAGGAGAACCCAGTGAACAATAAACATCGATATTTGGAATTATCGACACATTCGGTTGAAGTGACACGGTATTAAGTAGTAAAACCATTTTCTTGATTTTCAACTATCACGATTTCGAAATTATTACCAAACGAAAGTAGAAACGAAAAGAATAAAACACGATTATTACGAGTAAAATAATTTTGGAAATGGAAATAGAATAAACGAATGTCGCGAGATATTGCCACTTTCGTGCACGTAAGAATCTAATATTTCATTCTACGTAAAATTGAACATCAATTGAAATTCTGAAAAAGTCTAATTCTTGTAAAAGACGCACGCTTCGAGAAAGATTTCACCGATGATCGTGCTAAAAGAATATTCGAAAATCGGATGAATAATCGATAAATCGTAATTCTTAATTTCACATTTCGTTAAACAAAGATTTTGTTAAAGAACGATCCTTACTCCGC